GTTTATGTCCACGGCGGCCAAGCTGAAAATCAGCACTTCTGGCCAAACACTCGCCGGCCGTGTTTATCTTTCCGGCGGCCAAGCTGAAAATCAGCACTGCTGGCCAAACACTTGCCGGCCGTATTTATGTCTCCGGCGGCCAAGCTGAAAATTAGCACAGGTGGCCAAACACTCGCCGGCCATGTTTATGTTTCCGGCGGCCAAGCTGAAAATGAGCACTAATGGCCAAACACTTGCCGGCCGTGTTTATGTCTCCGGCGGCCAAACTGAAAATCAGCACTTCTGGCCAAACACTTGCCGGCCGTGTTTATGTCCCCGGCGGCCGCGCTGAAAATCAGCACTGCTGGCCAAACACTTGCCGGCCGTGTTTATGTCTCCGGCGGCCAAGCTGAAAATCAGCACTTCTGGCCAGGCGCTTGCCGGCAGTGTTTATGGCTCCGGCGGACAAGCTAAAAACAACTAGTTTTTGGCCGGACTCTTGCCGGCCTTGATTATGTCTCCGGTGGCCAAGCACTTAAAGTGGCCAAGCTGTCCAGACACTGGCCAACCGTCGGCCGATCGAAATTCACTTTCTGGTGCTGCTTGGGTATATCTCTAAATGCAGAGTGCAAGTTCGTCTGCTTCTTGGCGCAGGGGTCTCGATGACGTCAGAACGCCGAGCTCTGATTGGCTCTGATTGAAGGATAGTGGGTAGACCTCAAGGCAGCTTGCTTCGAGGTCTACCCATTGCACTTCAGTCAGAGCCAATCACAGCTCGGCGGCCTGACGTCATCGAGACCCCTGCGCCAAGAAGCAGACGAACTTGCACTCCGCATTAAAAATATGATTATTGGTTTAGGGGTCATGTTGGAATCACACTATTAACGGCAATTACTATTAGAGGCCAATCCAATTTAAATTATTTGCGTAAAGGTATTTTGTTTTATATAGATTAATTCGATTAATTTTTGCGTTTTTTCGCACGATTTAGAAATTTCGCTCAAAAAGAGTGTCGCAAGCTTTGCCCTGAATGACGCTTGGAAGAGTGACGTCGTCGTTTCATCATGTCGCCACTCTCTCGGCAGCGTGTCCTTGGTGGATGCGCCGACGACACAAGTGGCGACGTCACCTAAACGACTTCTTCCAAGTGTCATTCTAGGCAGGGCTTGATGCGGGCTGTTTGTGCGCAATTGAAACCGCAGAAAGCGTCAACGAAGCACTGATATATGTGCTTTGGGTACCAACTTGCACCGTAGTGAGTTCGCACCCCCTTCTTAGCTATTCTTTTTTTTTTTTTTTCAGGACAGACAACAAACACACGAGCATTTGTGTAGTACTCAATTCCAAAGGTATACATTACATAGTTCGAAAATCGCCGACAGCAATAATTTTAGGGGAAGTGCCCAAGATTGCGGTTTATTAAAAGATAAGTGATGCTTCTACCTCAGATGAAGAGGAACTTGCGCCCTATAGGCTACTAAAAAATTCAGCCTGGGCCGGGATTTGATCTCAGTGTAGGTGCATTTTCTGTCTTTCCGTACCAGGACGTTTTCTTACTGAGGTCATTGCTGTTTCTACTAAACGCTTGGGCCAGTTTTTTTTTTTTTTTTTGAAAAAGAATTGGATTGTTTTGGGAGTCCCCGACTTGGGAAGTAATTCGTTCCAAGTAATGCATTACTTGTAATCCGTTACTTTGTCAAGTAATTTTGTAATTGCCACGTTACCTTTTTTCGGAAGTAATTTGTAATGTAGTTTCGTTACAAAATATTGGCAACGGATTACTTTAATTACTCGTTACTTTTTGAAAATATGAGCATAATACGGTAACTGGAGCAATACGAGTAGAAAGAACATTCATCAGCATAAAGAGAGCAAGTTCAACAAAATAGAAAACATCAGGAAGGGGGAAACAGCCGAAAAGAAAACACGTTTTTGGTATGACCGCTCACTAGAACCACTAGAAAAACGAGCAAAGTTCGTTTTTCTAGTGGTATACGAAACACAAAGATCAAGTAATGCAACGCCGAGTAGGCTCTCCGTCGCCTTCCATCGTGTTTTTCTTCTTCTCCCGGGCCGGAGAAAGCTTGTTTATTTGTTTTTGTCTTTTACACCATTTCACCCTTTTCAACTTCCTCAACGTCTCCCGCCACCTGCAGACATCAAACGCGGATCCGTACCCCCCTGATTCGTGGGTTTACAACTCGCGTAATAGACTATGTAGCCTCGCGCGAGAGGGTCGAATTCTCTTTGTCTTTGATGTGCGCTACTTTATTCTAGCACGCTCCGAGGCACGATGGAAAGGCGCCCGGCGCGAGGCTAAGAGCATCGTCTTCGAGGGTACGGATGATACTTCTTTTGATTTACTTGTCCGGGCATGGTGGTCGAGTCCACTTCTCACTTCACAGTCAACTGTCAACATAAAGGAAGGGGGGGGGGGGGGGGGGTAGGCCATCTAAGGAGTGCTGACACAGAGAGAGAGAGAACGCGTAAAGGTGGTGTGACCCTCTATTGTTTTGTGAGACCGATGGCCGCCGCTTGTCTCGCTCTCTATGCCCTCCCCTCCCCTGGCCTTCACGATTATTGGTAGGAAAGTGAGAACCGATAAAAGATTGATAACCCGTAACCGCAACATTTTCTCTGACTGGTCGAGTTTTCGGTCATGGAGTGTCCGTCGTCTCCATGGCCATGTCTTAATCAGATGTTAAAACTTCAGGGCATTGAGGAGAACGGAAACCTGGAGTTTCATTGCATTCTTTGTTTACCAAAAAAACACAGATTGTCATCAGTAAGAACAACAAACTCTAATCTACAAAAACGCATCAAGTTAAGCTGGGACACCTGCATTCTGCATTGGCTATACATTGTAACGTTAGAACCAAGTTTTTCTTGTGGATAAGAGGACACCCGAATCAAAAAGGAGCTTTCGTAGAACGCTTCTTTAGCTCCGAATCTCGAAGCGGAGTTAGACGCTGCTCCTGAGCATGCACACCGCTAGCTTTGTCTTTACAATTACATGAACATTTCCGGAGGCCGTAAGCTAGCGGGATGGCAGGTGTGGTAGCAGCTTTTGGTGCCTTGTCAGCTTACAGGTGAACGGAGTGCACCTGCACTCGTTCTCTTAAATACAATATTTTATTTTTACGAGGACTACCATAATACGAGCGTATGAGAGATGAAAAGTAATGTTGCGGAACATTTTTGAAAAATATCGAAATTGTTTCTATTGTTTTCTGGATAAGTGTACGGAATAAGTAACGTTAAAGTAATTTGTAACGTCACGAGTAAAGCAATCCGTTACTTTTCAGCGAAAGCAATTTTTAGCAGTAATCCATTACATTTGAGGCTCGGTAATTTGTAATTGTAATCTTTTTTTTTTTTTTTCAAGCAACAACCACAAGTCTGTTTGGACCATTTGTTCCTGCACAGTTTGTTTATGAATAAGTTGTTCCTATATACAGTTTATTTCTAAAAAAAAAAAAAATTTCTGGACAGTTTGTTTCTCGTGAATTTGATCCTGGACATTTTGTTCCGGGTAAAACGCTCCACTTGGGGGGGGGGGGGGGGGGGGGGGTTAAGGTTTTTCTGCTTCTCCTTTATAATGTTTACATTTAACATCCAAACAGTGGTTCAGGCTCTAAAGCTTTCACGAGTTTACATTAAGACAAAACTGTGTGTGCTCTCTTTTCTTTCGTGGTCGTCTTTTTTGTGTGCTTTACTCATCGTTTGAAAGCATCCTCCACCCACCAGCCCAAGCTTCAGTTTTTATCAAACGGAGCTCCCCTGAAACGAGAAGAGGTCCCATTATAGGTGGAGATAACTCTTCGCTCGGGTGTAGGTTAAAATTATTAGAATAAATTATTTTACGTTCCTAGGTGATGGAGTTTCCATTCAAGAACCAACAAGAGTTCCTACTTTTTAGTCGCCTATTCTCTTCGTCCCAGAAATCCATCGTGTTACATTACTGTTCAATCTAAGTGAGCCCCTAATGGCATACATGACGTGCTAAAACTAAATTAATGAAGATACTGCTCGTACCCAGAATTTTCATTCGCCCCACAGAAACGCCCGAGTGTCAACAAAAGGTCAAAGTCAACTTTTATGATTGCGTAAATCCAGATTGCTTAACACGAAACGCGCCTGACAAGGAGTGTTTGGTCAATTTTAGTTTCAGCAATCAATGAAACAAAGAGAAAACAAAGCACAACCCGTAAACACACGGAGCACGCGAGATTCGCGGTTGTCTTTATACGTTTATGTATATTTGCCCAATGCTGTCCTATTGTTTTCTTCTTTTACGCGAGCATTAAACCCGAACAAAAATGTATCTGAATATCAATACAAAAGCGGGCGGTCTTCCAGAATTGAATATCGATTTTTGTGAAGGCGCGGTTTTGAACCGAGAAACAAATCGACACTGTCAGCTTTCTCGCCTCAAACAGAGCATTGTTTTTTTTCTTATGAGACTGGTCCGCCGATGGGAAAGGGAAAAAAAAGGGGGGGGGGGGGGGAGATAACGCTAGCAGAGGAATGCTCGTGCGCAACAAGAAAAAGTGACGTGGTCCTGAAAAATTACTTGATCAAGATGGAGTTCCTTGTGAACGGAAAAGTAGACCAGCCTATATGAGGCTTCAGGATTGCACAGAACCAAAGAGCTGCCCGCGTTGTGTCGAAACCCTCGTGGTCCGCAGTCTTGAGTAAGAAAAGTTTCAAGTGCGCATCCAATTCTTCGGGGAGTGAGGCAACAGCAGCGGCTTTGATATCCCTCCCCAATCCTTTCGAAGCGTGAAAGCTAAATAAGGCGTACCCTATAAAAGCAAGGAAACACTGGCACAGATGAGGGTTTTATGTAAGCCCCCGGATAAATTGCGGGAGCGGACGTTTAATGGAAATTTAGATTGTGGCCGGAAGCTGGACGATTTAAACACCAGGAGCTTATTGTTCGAGCGCCGTCGCCCTCCGAAGGCGACGGAGATCGAACACTAAAAAGCCACAAAGTTGGAGCCCCTGATTAAATCCTACCATTCTCAGTAAAGCAAAACAAATTTATTTCTCCGCCAAACATTTTCATAGTTTTTTTTACACATAAAAAAATAAATCAAGGAATGAAATGTACACATAAAGGTGAAAGAAATCAATTCATTCGTGCACAAAACGCATTCCACAGCAAAAAAAAAAAAAAAAGAATCGATGGACACCAGCGATGCGTCGTAAACCCCAACGCCATGCATGACAGCGTATGTACAAAGTAACCGAGTAAGAGACGTCATCAAATCAGGTTAAAATAACAAGCCTAAAACAAACGAGCAAGGACATATAAAAAGGAAACTCCGGCTACATTTGGAGAGAATCTCAAGCGAAGCAAACATAAAAGAGAAAAATTCTAAAATAAACAAGCCAACATTTAGGGCACACAAGCGAAACGAAAACACTACTAAGCAAACATTCAGCGCGAGAAAGAGTTGCAGCGACAATTCCATGGTGTTGAATTGGTGTTTAAATAAATACAAGTGCTCCAATTCTTAGCGCACTTCTCGAGGCGCCTATTAAACTTGCACATTATCAAAAAGTAGCACTTTACTCATACTTCCATGGCATCAGAGAAAACTTACATATTATAGTTTCCAAAGTTACAATAGCCTCCAATTAATTTTAAAAAACAACACAATTAGATGTTACTGACTATAGCAGTCAACCACATGCATTAAAAATGTTGATAACATAAAAAAAAAAACGTGCACATTCAACCGTACATGACTTGACCAATCGAACCTAAGCAATATACCGCGAAAGGCACTGGAAGATCACAGTTAGATGCAACAGAGTTTCAAAAAGAGGTAATGCTGCCGGCCGAGCTTACAAAGTCTAAATCGTGTTGAAACACGCCGCACTTACCATCACCGCCCATGTTAGGGGCATCACCAGGCGTAGACAATGTAACAAATTATGGGGATAAAACGAAATGAAAGTACAACACCAAAGGTGTAAACGTTCAACACAAAAAATTGTGCTACAGCGCCTTTCTTTTTTTTTTTCTTTTTCTACACAATGAAACAAGTTGAAGGCCACCGTGAAGTGAAAAGCACCGTCACAACGGCCAGCGCAGGAATGATCCAAAAACGGAGAGTTCACCGGATAGCCCAAACACACGCACACGCTTAAATATGTGTTACACAAGCGAAAAAAAATCGTGGTTGTCGATCCCATCTGTCCAGCAGATTAAAAAAATGCTCCGCTCACATCACTGTCCTCTTTTTGTGCATTCTGGCTCATACTTCATCACAGATAAGTCCCAAGCTCGAAAAAAACAAGACGCCGTCAAGGGCACTGAATCACTGCCCGAAGGCCATCCCTTCGGCTGAATCTGCCCGAAGGTCAGTCGCTTGTCTTCGCTTTTGTTCGCAGCATTATTTTGATAATAATCTATGGAAACGTTTACTCGAGTGGGGCATGACCATGTCGTCCATAGGACCAGTTCTCAAACAGGACCCTGAAACAAAGAAAAAAGTGAAGCGAAATAGGAAAAATGAGAACACGAAAGGCAAGTAATTTAAACTTTTGATTGAGTGGATGTGAGCTAACTTTTCTGCACAACTGTATTTTGAATCCAAGCATTATCAATAGACACCCGAATTATGAAGCCTAGAGTATCTGGATCACAGGTAAAATACATTGTCACTGATCAGCACTTAATAGTAACTTATGCTTTAAATCATCAAGGTTTGGGCATAAACGTTGAGGTACTCTTGTACCGGTGTGCTTTCATCAATCATAACCGTCAAATGGAAGTTCGCGATTCCAGGTTAGTGACTACTACAACGAGAAACATTTTGCTCTGCACTTAACCGCGATGAAAGAACAGCCCTAACGCAAAATGAAGACAGACTTCACGCCGCGTAAGGCTTATCAAAAAAATTCGCAAGAATGGTGGCACACGGTGCCGTAGATTGAGAGTAAAGACGCCTCAAGGGCGCCAGGATACTCACTTGGCTCCAACCAGCAACATGACCAGAGCTGCGACGGTGCTCAGCACAGCGTCCATGTACCATATCTCGGGGTTCGAGTCGTACACGAGGTCGCTCACTATGATGGCCACCGCACAAAAAGCGCTGATTAAAGAGTTAATCCCTGAAACAATGTTCAACAGCATTGAGAATTCTAACACAGCCTACCGAATAAAAGCTATACTCCCTCTCACAAATGTCTACTGTGCAGACTCAGCGTGCCTAACTCAGTAGAAAGCTTTGTTTGCTCGAAAATTCGCGCATTGAAGGCAATTTCCAAATCCACGCTCTCGCGCCTTTGTGAGCACTGCAGATGTTTGTGAGATAGACCATAGGCCGCCTGTATACCTTCCTCCTCTGCAAAACCATCTTTTCTTTCTTTCTCTCTTTCTCTCTCCTTAGTGCGTGCGTGGACTGCCGTTTAACGCAATCAAAGGAAAGCTTCATGGCTCTAAGACCATACAATGTTTTCGTTAAGGTACTGCGTTCTGCGTTCCTTCTTAGAGATGGGGTTCTCCATCACGGTGTCCCCGCATTCTTGTACGTGATCGAGGATAGTCTTTTTTGTCTATCACCGTAGAGGCGTTACTTAGCACCTGCAACATATTACTTTGTACCACGACCGCGTACGATCCCCAGACAAATGGACTGACCGAGAGGTTCCATCTCACATCAGCAGATATGATTTCAATGTACATATCAGAAACTCGCACCAAATGGGATACCGTTCTACCTTCCGTAACATTCGCATACAACGGCGCAGTTCAGAGTACTACAAGGTTTTCTCTTTTCCACCTTCTCTATGGACATAAAATATTTTTCCCCTTGGATTCTATATTTCCTTCGGAACAGCTGTGTTATTCAAACGAATTTCTGACGGACGCTTTGGCAACACTGAACCATATAAAGATTTAGTAGACCGTACGCTAGAGCTTCGCTTCGCAAGCAGGAACTCGTGCCATCACCTCGAAGCATGTACTAAGCACGTGGCCCCTGGGACCCCGTACAGAGTACGGTCGACTAAACCTCTAGTGCCGCCGGCTATCCCGCTGTCGGACAACAGAGCAGCAGCACAAGTCAAAGATGTGCTACGACGAGGTTCATCGCGACTTCAGATACTCTTCTGGGGACGAGGGCCTCATCGCCTTCACCCTGTGCAAGGCTGGTTTATGCGAAAGGTTCCTTCCTCGCTACATGGGACCATATCCCGCGTTGTCCAGCGGACGCCACCAGTCAACTATCTCGTCCGACTCTTCGACCCCACCACCCGATGAACAAACCCGCGGGCCCGACGTCGTTCATCCTGCCTCAAGTCCCTACCTCAAGTGTCTGAGCAAGACTACAGCGGAACGGAATACACGTCCTGGCAATATTGAAATGAGGCTATCCCGAAATGCCTCACAAGTTCAGTGTCCAATACGTATATATTCTGGGAACCAGATAAAGGGATGAGTGTTGAGTCATTGAAAACTCGTTGAATAATTCGACATGATTGGCCATCAGTAAAAATATTAAAGTAGGTATTTTTAAAAGAATGAGTACACCATACTAGTTCATCAATAACACGTTGCAATGCTCATCTGATAGCTAATTTTTCAGCCGCATCATTTAGAGTTTTCTTGAACGCCAAACCACAAACTATCAAGAAACGTGATCGCCGCACATAGGCACATACGTGTCTGTATTGGATATCAAACTTTACGTACTATATCACTACATGAACGAAAGCTTTGAGCACCAGCTTTTCGAGGTTCTTTTCTTTTTTTACCTTTCAAGCGCTCCAATAGCAGTTGCACTTCCAATTACAGCAGCATTAGAAACCGATGTTTCAAGACAAGCTTCAAGAAAAGTGCAACTAGTCGGCTATGTATGAACATGAAATGCTGGCTTTGTTAAGAAATACATCACGCGGGCACGCACGGAAGAAAAATATTGCAAGCTTAAGAGAAAGACAAAACTTTTGTCTACGACTTACCATCCAACACTAAAGATAGGCTTCCCATCCGTCTAGCCAGGACAAATTTGACAAGCGCTAGTGCAAAGCAAGCCGCCGCTCCAACACCAGCCAGAATTATGAGAATCGGTATCTGCAATAGAGCCAGGAACACGAATATTATAAATATGCGAACACCCACGCAAACATATAAAAATGTGAAACATCGTATGCCTAAGCTCCATTATCCATCACCAAACCTACCCGAGATTTGCAGACACTCGCAGGCCGCAATAGTAAAAACGTCAACGAAACGTTCATCCCCCTTTATCAGCGTCCATAACCTAACGCTTGATGGCGACTGCTTATACAAGTTCGCCACTTCAGTTTCATTTGTGTCCCTCCAGATTTATCACGACAGAGTGAGTAGTGTTTAAGATAATGAGACACAAAAATAACGTTTATAACAATCTTAACAAATACATTGTTAAGAGAAAAGTATCACGTGCTTTTGGGTAAGGCTTTACCGATCATGTTTATATTCCGTTTGGGATGTCCCACAAACTCAAAATCGTGGCAGAAAAAAAAAAAAGACAAAACTTAAGGGGAACTTATTACTAAGGAGATACATTACGCAGGTCAGGATGATGACTCTAAATTGCCACCCGACAAAATGAACGAAATCTTTATTATGGTACTACAACATTAATTAATATAACGACCATCCTCTATAATAATTAGCCTAAACTGAACGTATAGGCGAGTTCCCTTTTTATATACCTGGCAAACACTGCGCCAAATATCTTCAAGAAATACCGAAACTGAACAAGCACTATAGTTAGAAACTACTCAAAAGGAGGCTGGACTTTATTAGGCAAATATTCGGCGAATAAAACGACGAAAATCGCCAGGCATGCACGTTCACATTTCACGCGGCATCAACAGCCACGGTTCTTATGCCGCGTGCAGAGTGAGCGCCACCGGACGAAATTCGTCGCTGGTTGGCAGTACAATATTTGGTCCATGAATTCCAGCATTAAGAAGCTAGTGATTAGGGACTTTTAGCAAACCGTTACCGTAGTACGGTTACCGTAGGCCCGACTGCGCATGCTCGACTCGTACCAGCGTCACGTGCCTGAAACGCGTTACCGAGTTCGCCTTACGTGATACCGCGGCCCTGTGTTCACCATGGCGGCGACCACGCTCCGCCAATGCTAGAGTTGACGACACACTGTTTCGGAATGCCGAAGGAGCCATCTAGAAACACTCGCAGCAGCAAATATTGCTGGAGGAGACATATTTAGTAGGGAGGGCTGCATTATAACGATCCCGGCACGTTGCGGAACGGGGTTGTTTTTCTTTTCTTTCCGTTGGCTCTGTGCCCTCATCGCGCGCTCGTTGGCTTTCGCCGCACTTTGGCAGCGTGTAGCCGCGTGAGCACTCTTCTACTTTCAAGACGAGAATGCTCGCGCTGGAGGGAGTATTCATTGGCGGCCATAGCTGCGTGCGCGAATGCAGAGCGCGTGCTGATGGCGAGCATCCATAGTTCTCTTGCGACGTGCATTCCGCACCACCAAGGTTGCCCGTCTTAACAGCGTATTAATGTGAGCTCGTTCTGAGCATGCGCTCTAAACAGAGCCCTCAAATATGACGTCCAGTGAAAACAATGCCGTTATCAGCAGAGTTATTAAACGCCTCGAAACAAGACAAAATGCCTTGATATCTATTATGCTTCAATACTTAGATTGATGACATAACCAGGGTGTCGAACCGGAACTCTTTTCGGTTCGGTTTAGGTTACGGCTCACATATTTCGGTTTATGTCAGGTTCAGCTTTGGAGCCAAAACAATAACGGTTCGAACCAGTTCATATAACTGTTCAAGGAAACTTGAAAAAAATTCCCCAAATATTTTCACACCTCTAGTGCCATGAAGTGGACTACTGCGGTATAAAATAAGCACTCATTTATTGATTTTGTGTACTCCATCTGCCTATTGGAATGATCTTCAAAAATTCAAGAAGTGACATGGGACTGGGTACCTACCTTTTATTCACCAAACACAAAATTAAATACATATACTGCAAGAATGGACGAGTGCCTCTCCAAAATTTTTACAGGCACACGCTATATCAATTCTACCGATATGTACGCTCTGTCTTGGCTGCGAGAAACGACCAGAGGAAAAGGACATCATTGCGTATGTCAAACCTCAATCGCGTACGTTGACGTGATAGGATGTGTTTTAACCCCAAAAAGGACTTTTCCACGCTGACTCGCGTGGCCGGTACTTCAAGAGCGACGAGTGCAAGTGAATATATTTCGAGGCGCTGGGACTTTTTCTTTTCCCAAAATTCCAAGGCATTGGCCTTGGTAATTCGGCACACCTTTTAAAAGCCGTCCAGTAGGGTCTGAATCTCCCCAAAGATCGAAGAAAGGTCGCTAAATGCTTTGAGGCAGCCACTTTCTTTTTCCATGAGGAACGCTTCGAGGTCGTCATCAGGGCAAGTGGAACTCCCCGTTGTGCATGGTGCTTGAGGTTTCTGTGGCTGGGCATCTTCTTTAAGCGCGCGAAGCTTCCTCCACGCCAGTAGCAGATGCTGCTTTGTTCTGAACCTCTCCTCGCTTGTTAGCGTAACATGGTATCGCGAATCCAAAAAGAAATCCGCACAGAATAGGTCGCTTGCAAGCAACACCTTTTCTCGCCTTTTCATGGCAGCGGCCAGTTTATTCGCGATCGGGGTGTCAATTTTCGACGTCTCAATTTGACACGTGAGCCATGCTCCATAGAAGTCCCCCAAAATGAGTTCCTCATTTTGAAGCTGCAATGTTGCTTCCTCGGCCGGTCCCAGGGAGGTAACTACGTTGCTTATTGATTGCCTGTCTTCTTGAGTAAGGAAGTGTTCATTATCGTCTGCCATGAACTTGTCGCAGAACTCTCTCAACTCCAGCAATCGTCGCATCATGGCTCTGCTGAACATCCACCTCGTTACGCAATCCAAAACGGGCTCTTTCAGATTGAGCTTCCGAAGTAGGGATAGAAGCGTCTGCGTCCTCATTTGTTTCACAAATTTTCGGGCCTTCTGTATGATGTCGCTAGCAGCTGTAGACTTGAAAGCGCCATGTACAGCGATCTGCAGCGTGTACGCAGCACACCTCATTCACTGAAGAGGTCCCTCACCTGAAAAAGCAAAAACTCCTAATTCTTCGAGGTACGAGGCACCATATGAGGCGCCACTGTACGCGTGAACGTCTTCCTCCTCCAGCTCGGAGTGGTCGGATCTTGCCGCGACCCGGCCAGTAGATTATTCTGGTAAGAGAGCAACTGTTTACAGCCTATTGGCTCCGTTGTGTGTCGGCATACTGAAGACCTGATCTGGAGATACGTCGTGCCTTGAAGTATTTGAAGAGCTGCCATTCGAACTACGTAACTACGGTAACGGTTGTACGGTCACGGTAGTACGCTAACGGTCTGCTAAAAGTTTCTAATAATCCGCTCGCAAAAAAACCCATAGAAGCTAGGCCACACTATTGTATCAACTACAGGGTGATTCAAGGAGAGGCCAGGCTCTTTAAATCGACCGCAAAATTCGGTTTCTTAACCTATCGCGCTACGACTTTGTGCAGCGTTGCCCACAGATGGCGCATTTTTTTTTTTGTAAAATTGGCAAAGAGCGTACTTACCTGAGAAAAAAAGTAAAGAAAGAAAAAGGCTTAGCTCTTATGGAAACGCTGCGACGCCACCGGTCTTCAAACAACATGGCGCCGTTTCGCACGGGAGACAAGAGATGGCGCAACAAACGCCGCCAACGAACGTGCATACGGCGCCGAGAGCCGGCGTCTTTAGTAGACAATCTTTTCGACTCAAAAGCGGCGCGCGTTCCGCAAGCGGCGACAGTCGCAGAAACAAAAACAGGCGCGGTAACAACAAGGAACTGCAGTTCCTTGTCTGCTAAAGATGCCCGCTCTCGGCGTCGTATGCTCGTTTGTTGGCGGCAGCTGGCGTCGCGACCGCTTGCACCATCTCTTGTCTCTCGTGCGAAACGGCGCCGCGTTGTTTGAAGACCGGTGGCGTCGCTGCATTTCCATAGGAGCTAAGCCTTTTTCTTTCTTTACTTTTTTTCTGAGGTAAGTACGCTCTTTGCAAATTTTACACAAAAAAAATGCACCATCTGTGGGCAACGCTGCACAAAGTCGTAGCGCGATAGGTTAAGAAACCGAATTTTGCGGTCGATTTAAAGAGCCTGGCCTCTCCTTGAATCACCCTGTAAATAGAAGCGGGGGCGTTAAAAGTAAAATACGGTGTTTCCAGATTGTAGACGCAAGACAACAAGAACACAACACGAGCCGGCCTAGACTTAAAAGTCCTGCATGGGGAGGAACCGTGAAAGTGCGATCATATCAAATTAATTTCTTACAGAAGTACCCGTGTAAGCAAAGCATATATCCTTTAGCGCGCGCGCATTTCACAGCGTTGTAACGCAGCTTGAAAGAAGCGCGTCTTCTTTACAGGTTGTTTGTTGCCGTGAGTGTGTGTGAAAACAAGAATGGCTCACGAGGTACTCGGGGATTACGTGCACATGGGTATAGGCATACACGTAGGCGAGAAAGCAAAATGGTGGCCCATGAATTTCCAAAAAAAAAAAAAATCTTCCCGGCTACCGTTCTGCTACAATTAGCTGCCATGATATAGGACCTCATTTTCAGCCCTACAAAAAATTTAGTAAGCATATTGTTTCTCAAGCTTGCTGAAACTTACCCACGTGGGACTCTCTCGTACGATGAGATCTTCCATGGCTTTGCTTATGATGGCGATGGCCGATATAATAAAAAACAATCCCAGTAGCATGCAGGCACTAGAAATAGAACAGAAAGACAGTTCAATATTGCTTCCAACTGGCAGACAAAGCACGTGGTTCAACGTCTTGCTAAAAGTCTTCTCAAAGCCAAGTATGATTCTCCATGAAATGCCTCGCACTGTACGTATAAACCTATATGCAAGTCTTGTTAGCCCTCTAGGTGGGTCACATGCGAGTGTTCAAACTTACAAACCCAGTTAACCGATTTGTCATTGACGGGTACACCAAACTAATGAGAAAAAAAGGGGAATAATAAATATTACGCGACCCATCTGTCCAACGTACATTCTCTCTCTTGCAAATGAATAGTGTGGTGTCAGGTACTGCCATATCACAATGATAGAGGAGAGCATGTCTAGAAGGCACTCCGCCTGAAATGGGGAAACAAAACTGCGTCAGTACTAATTTCTAGCCATTCAAACTACGTACGGCTGTATTCGCAGCTGGAAACACTTACCGCAAACGCGTAGATTGAAGCACTGTTCCTTTGAAACGCAAACACTGCAACAACAAAAAGCAAAAAAAAAAAAAAAACACGCAACCTTGTAATCACCTGGATGAAAAGTTAATCGAGTAGACAGCAATTAATAAAACAGCATGAAAACGAGCTTCGTAGACGTCGTACAGTCAGTAAATTGTGAACCTCCTTGAACCGAAGATAACTTAAACCTGGCGTACAGAAATGAAAATCAATCTGCTTCTACGTACAAATAGAACTTATCTATTTAGCTTTTAAGGGCGGCGTTCAATGGGTCAGCGGCGTTTCCAAGTGCCAATTCGTTTGATTTTTTTTTTCTAACGTGTGAAAGACGTCGGTGATAAGATGGAAGTGCGACTGTGGCACGAGTCAATGTTTTCCGATCCTACATTTGCCGCGCGCGCATGCCCAGTAGAAACACTTTTTGAACGGCGTAGTAGGAGGAACCGGAATTATGAAAAGAGGGCGGATGGGAGAATCGCCGTTTCCCCATAAATAGGGTTCCGTGTTTTCGGTGTTTATTTTTCTTCAAATTCGGGGGTGTTTTCTTTTTTTTTTTTGGGGGGGGGGGGGGGGTTAGTTCTCCCCACGGATTCGGTGCTTTTCGGTATTAATTTTCGGTGTCCGACAATAAACCGGAGATGATCGGGGTTTATCTTGAAGTAACTATTGCACGGACATAAAATTTCCCAACCTTCAAGGAACATGCAGGTGGCCTGAATACTTGGAAAACGTCCCCGTACCTATAATAAAAGAAAACAAAACAATATGTGTGGTTCCGAAGAAAATAGGAGACTCGAGGGCGGTTCCCTGAGGGTTGTGCTCCGGTTGAACTGGAAACAAAGCTCTACATAAAAATTTCTTCCCGTGAAGTTTGAGTTTTTCTCCTTAAAGGACAGCTCGAATTCGGAATATGCCGATCTTCCCCGATTTCGATCAAACCGACACGAAAATTTATTTTCGGGGTTTATCGGTATTTACCGAAAACACGGAACCCCAGCCATAAAGTATGCCGCCGGGTTCTGACTACCGTAAGACAGATTACCAGAAGACTCCAGTCCCAAATGTTGCGACTCGAATGTTCTTTTCCCGACGCGCACCAATAAGAGTCGTTGTTCCTATGCGTGCAGAAACTGGGAGAGAGAAGGAGACGAGAGGGGACGTCGGAACACCGAGCTCTGGTTGGAAGGACAAGTGGATAGACGTTAACCTAGATGCCCTTGTTTCCACCCACTGCGCTGCTCGAACGCGTTCGACGAGTGAAGTGGAGACAAAGGCAACTGCTAGCTTTACAGGATGAGACGCCCTGCCGTTCTCACCCTGCAAACGATTTTAGTTCAAACGTTTACGTATATTGCCCGACGGCCAAATAAAGCGTATAGCGCCTCTTTCAAAGATCCACGCGTACGGGCTCGTTGCCTCACATCGTGGCTTGGCTGCGCGCGCATATACTGAAAGCTAGCTCACGAGACGACATGCAGTGTTATCGAAGGTACTAACAAACCAATACCCCTTGGTTAGAATCTCGCGTTGCAGAAGGGACAACTCAAAGACCTTCCCGACGGTCTCATCTTGTCACTGACTGTAGCGTGTAATCTTTTGTGGCCAGACAATAACGAATAAATGCCGGTAGCGGGCGTAAGGCAACGAGGCAACACTAGGCAGAGCGACGTGAGTTGTGCCTTTTATAAAAAGAGAAATAAACGATGTAGGATTTACACACCAACACGCGGCCCTGACGACAGGCCGCTGCGTGGCGCTGCTATTTGCAGGGCGCACGCGCACAAGCTCCACTTCACGCAAATCTGGTTCCTGCGCACGCGCAGTGGCCGCACCTCGTGTGGGCTTGTTTGGAAAGAGCGTGTTGGCCTATAGACAATAGACCTCTTGCAAAAATTGAAGCGATCCTAGCGGCGTATAGTACCGTGCAAAGCCGGCAAAGCGTCATGGGAACCCGTTGTCTATAGTTTCGGTTTCGATTTGCCAACCTCACTTCACGGCATCACCTTAAAGGGGTCAAGAAACGATATCGGGTTGGAATGTTCATGACTTTGCAGAGGCGTAACAGGCGTAGTCTGGCCCAGGTGTACTCGCACCAACGAGGTAGATAAAGTGACCCCCCACTTGGCTGCCGACATGTTGCACAATTTTGACCACTAGACACGCGAGCCTACCAAATCCTGAGGCTTTTGCGCAAAACTGTGCAGACATGTGTATTGAGATCGCTGTAAAAAACATGATAAAGTACTTTTTCCATACTGTTAGCCCCAAGGATCAGTGTTTAGCTGCGATAAAAATCCCAAATACAGCATCGCGACTGGTGGCATCCAGCGAAGCCATTCTGAAGCTGCCCGAGTTTTTGTCGTAAAAGCACATTTTGGACTTAAAACAAACGAAGCATAATTTATCTCGTCGGTTCTGTTATTAAAGATCAATAAGAAATTACTTGTGCGCGGTGCTTTATTAAAATCTAGACGTAAAACTATAAGGCCATCGTGTCTAGTAGTCTAAAATGTGCAACATGGCAGCGGCCAATTGACGGTCACTTTCAGCTGCCAGTCTTACACTCTAAGGCCCTCTACCTCATTGACTAACACAGACCGCCACTGGTTCAGAAGCTTCTAGGTCGCGGTGAAATTACGAGTACGAAAGATGAATAATTAATAGGGGTTGTGTGGATATCTATACAGCGTGTATTCGGTCAGCCATTTCAAAGTTGCGACGAGTCACTCGCTGTAGAAGAGCAATTCAGCCAGTGCAGTAGAACCGCTAGACTGGGGTCCTTAACGTGCACCACGCAGTAGTGGTACACGACCGCACGCCGGTACAATACTCATCCAGATCGAAACGGGCAGGAGCGGGGATTGAGCCCAGGATCCCTGGGTTCTGCAGAGTGATCTTTCGCTCCACGTTCTCCGAGCTGGTGTGCGCTAGCCCACTCGGCCACCGATCCACCTAATAAAAGGGGTCTTTCTCTTTCAGTCTTCCCTTCGCACTGCTTGACGGCGTAATTGGGGTATCGAAACTACCCGCTGACGACAGTCGAGCGCGGATCATGGACTATAAACAAGAACTGCGTGAGCACTCGACTTCGGCTTGTAACAATCAATGCCTCGGCTGACACTCGGGTATGCTCGTGTCCAACCACTCCGGTAATGAGAATAGCCGAACTCTAACAATGCCTGGAACTCAGCACGCGTTTTCTAATTTGCCGACCCCAGCGCGTGGTTATAATTAACGTTGGCGGCATAGGATAGGCACCAGGCCACGTGGCCGCTTGTTCTGGCTCCGAGTTGTGGGCATGAACAATGCTTATATTTCTCTATTTTTTGTCGACTTCCAATAACTAAGGCAAGTTTATTAAAGTATTAACGTTAGGGAGTGATTCTAAGTAGGATTTATCGAAAGTATCAAAATCGTTTCAGGGCTCATTTAAGATCAAATACAGTGCTTGCATGTTGTAATATGTGACTTCCCTTAAACTTATATTAAAATGTAGGATAAAATGCTAAAACACGTTCTTTTCTTCTTTTTTCTTTTGGGGGGGGGGGGGGGGGGGGGGGGGGCTTCTTGACGTGCCAGAGCGTGTGCGCATGAAACAGAACTACGAAGGCACTACATGGAAGAAGAATACTTGTCCGGTCTTCTTGTTCCATCTCTTTAATGGGATTTTTCAATTATTCGTTTGCCGGGAGGGTCATGCTTCACTCTAAGCTGGTGGCCAGGCCGTCAGAAAGGTATGCGACGCGGCCGGCCGTATACTCCTTCCTACTCCTCGCTAAGCCTAGGCAGGTCCTAGGCTTAGCGAGTTCTGCGCTTTTAACTGTGGCTTTCACGAAGATGAATGGAAGCAAACCAAGCGAGCGCTGCCTTTATTTGAATGCAGTAGTCGGAGGCACTACTTCGCTAACCGAAACCATGTTACTCCACTCTATGGCCAAAGAGGTACCATATTGTAACGCGCGCAGTGTTACATGCCTAGATTATTGGACGTAATCTATAGGGGGTATTCACTGGACGTCATATTTGAGGGCGATGTTTAGAGCGCATGCTCGGAACGAGCTCACATTAATAGCCTGCTAGGACCGGCAATCTTGATGGTGCGGAATGCAGGTTGCAAAAGAACTGCGAAAGCTCGCCGTCAGCACGCGCTCAGCAGCCGCGCACACAGATATGACCGCCAGTGACACATCGACTGGTACACCATGCGTGCAAGCGCGTGCAGTTTGCGCGTGAACATAGGTTTGGCAAGTTTGCAATCACACGGGCAAGCGACTGTTTACGAAAATCCCAGTTTTTACGCGCTAGATCACAATTCAGCCAACACGCGCTCACGACTCCAGCTAGCCATGAAACGGTCATGCGAGACGCACAAAGATGGCACGAACGTACCCCGAGACGCTTTTATGATGCCGTGCAATTTTTTCCGGATGTACCAGAACGGTAGGTAACCGCTGCACGGCGCCTGTTTTATACGTTGGTTAGCGTTTTTTAAGGCTTAAAAAATGGGGTTTCGTGGAGTGGTTTCTTTTCTCCGCTTACATCGTAAAAAACAAAAAGAGAATCCGGAGCTTTCATACTCGTAATATTTGAAAACAAAACCGCTAGAAAGAGACCCGCTTACCAGTTTGAAATCGGAGAGTTAGGCGAAAGGGATAGGGAAAAGAAACAAGCGGCTCGAACACGGCTAGAGACACAAGAGACTACCACTGCCGCTTCGGTCTCTTGTCCCTTTCACCCAAGTCTCGGATTTCAAAGCGCCGACTGGCCTGCGCGAGTTTTTTTTTTTTATTATTATTTTTCTTACTTTTTACTTTCCAGTGCATTCAAGGACCGGATGAGCCAGAAAAACAGTAGAAGAATTTGACACGCGACAGAGATCCATCTGTTTGCTTCAAATTGCAACGATCGTGACCATGAGGTTAAAACTACATTTTGTTTATTTGTTTTTATTTGCCAAAACCTGTAAAAGCAGCATCTCTTTTCACACACTTTACAATTGTTTTATTTAAATACATTAACGATTCTTTATCGCTGCATTAGGTAAGAGAGAAAAGATGATTGGCCCGGCTTTCTAACATGCATTAATTGTATCTGTGCGAGACATTAAAATCAAACCGCCTTGTCAAAATGTGTTTCAGAATTGTTGTGTTCAACTATGCAGGGGTCGACCGAGAACAGAAAATGCGCTTTCTCGGGTCTCAGAAATAAACCACGTGAAGCTAGCGGTTGTGAAAAAATTCGAAAGTTTGAAAACATGACGTTACCTGGATCGAAAGATACGAGGGAAAGGCAAGTTTTCCATGAGCCCAGGTCCACCTAAGCCTAATATTCAACAAACAAAGAAATCACATTGTGGACGCCTGCAGCATATATTTTTGTGAAAAAGAAAACTTGTCACAAAGATAACAATCGATATCGTCTTTCTCACAGTCAAATTTTTCCGCTGCAATTAATACTACAGGCGCCCACAAGGCACGTTTTTTGGCTTGATGAATACGAGGCTTAGTTGGACGTGGGCTAATATATAAATTGTTTGTTTTTTCTCATATCTTTTGATACAGTTAACGTCATGTTCTCACACTCGCATTTTGTCACTACAACTAGAGCATCACCGTTCTCACGGAGTTTTAGCTTCCTGCGATACCCAGTTTCATTTTCCGGGCCGAAAACCCCCGTTTCATTTTCTCGATTGTCCCCTGTATACTATACATAACGTTGCAACAACATTCTCACCAAAGCCCGTGCCTCCGACTACGAGGTTGAAGACCACCGAAACGATGCTCAACGTCAGGGCGCATTTTCGGTTCAAGTCCCCTCCTTGATAGGGTCCGTTATCCAGGAGATGGGCGTCGAGCTTCAGTGGTGTACTTTCTGCACATCGAAACGAGAGAAGAAGAAAGATAGTCACTCGCCAGCGGTATTGATCCGCTTTTGAATACTGCAACCATTTTTTTGTTGTTGTTGTTGTTACTGAGGAGTTAGTTAGTGAGGATCAAACGCTAAACTTTGTTCTTACGCCACGAGGCGGCTGAAGATTTTTAATAGCTTTCAAATATTCTGCAATGCCCTCAGGGACCGAGGGCATCGCAGAGGAAAGTGGGCGAAAAGCTATATCAATAAAATAATAAATTCTAAGCGCGCAAATAATTGCTTGCTAATGAAATGCTGAAATTTTGAGACTGTTAAGGCAGTTTTAAAAGCGACGCCATAAGATAATGGTATAGTATAGGTCGCTGGCAGGCGATTCGGTCAATTAATCGGGTAATTATTAGTTTTTGTAGATTACCAGCATTTAATCGAAAACAAAGGCAGGATAGCATGGAAGGATACAAAAAGCGAAGAAAAAAGACAAACATGGCGCATAGCAAACATAACCATTAAACAGAGAAGGGCTCCATAAAGGAGTGACTAAAAAAGCAGACCCCGTTTGTGAACTGACAACAGTATCGGAGAGCTTTCTTCTTTTTTTCAATCGCCTATGGTATTTAGAAGAAAAAAAAAAGGCATGTTTTGAATGAAACAATTCTACACACAGGTGCGATAAATGCTACTTTATGGTTGTGATGAGTAGACCTTGCTTCGGTAAATGACGAATAACGAGCAGACTCAATCGTGCATTGATATTAACATTAAGGCGATAAATTTGGCTCAAGTTGCTAACTCACACAAAACCTAACATATTATGTAACTCCAAAATTTATGCCAAAAAACCGTACGGTTCATACGCAAACCAGTATGTTTTTTTTTTTCCTGCGCTTATGAACTTAAAAAAAAACAAAAAAAAAACATGTGGGTAAAAGTGACCATTTTGTAGTTTGTTATTGAGACACGAGGACATGTAAAAAAAGTGTTAATAATTAACTTGTTACGTATGAATGAGGATTATATGGTAGATCTTGTGAAGCAAATTCAAACGAGAGAAACCTGCACGTTATGCGAGGTTAAGCAAATTCGAACTATATTTCGCAGACGTTATGCATGCAGTGCGATAATACTAAACATACGAAGCGAACACATCAACTTTTCTTAATTACTTCAACGGAAGATGTTGATACGTCAGTACTGGAGTTCCAAATTTAACAGGCATATCCCAGCTTGGAGCGAACGAGTGTTTCGTCGAGCAGTCGCATTTGAAGAGACACAGACACTAATGGAAATTTTGGTTTTATGAATCCTTTTTGCAAGCGACTGGTATTACTTGGTATTATAGCGAGTGTAACTTTCCCGAGATAATAGATAAGATCTTAACATCCAAGTATACCTTTAGAATGATAATAGCTCTAAAGAAGTTTGATTCGCCTAATAACGCGAAACTTCGTTGCGAGGAAACCGTTGAGTATACATTAATGTGCATCGGTTCGTGTTCAACCGCACTCCCACTGCTCGCACGTCGTAGAAAAGACACGGAGTTTCTCCGCAGAGAGAATTATCTGCGGAGACGCCTCGGGCATCGTACAAGCATGTCTGCTTCGTACATGTTTCGATCATGTCATGCAAACAATTTTTTTTTGTACGACCGATCTGATAGGACCCTCATACAATAGAGAAATACGTCTCAAGTCCTTTGTACGATGTATATAAGCAGTATGACCGCGGGTTGAAGCTCTGTGTTCCGTATAGCGGGGGGTCACGCTGCTTACGTACGTCAAACGAAAGACAGCCTGCGTGCTTAGTTGAACGAGTCGCCACGATATCCGTGTCCTCGAACACCGCGTGGCAATGGGTTCAGGGAGGAAACTTGGGCAAGCGGCATGCGAACCACGGTAATCGCGGTGCCTCGTGTTTGCGGACTACTGTCTTTTTGTCTGATGTATACGTGCAGTGCGACCCCGGCTTTAAGCCACATCGTTCGAGCACGCGGTTAGTCGGATCAGGTTGAAAACAAGAGATGGCGGAATCCTTCTTCAATCCACAATATGCAACGCAAAAACCAAATTAATTCTAAAATCAAAATTGTAAAAAAAAAAAATTAAAACAAGGCTTATTTCGAAATTCAACATATTCTCCCAAACTGAAAAGTGAGAAGGTGTTAAGGTGTGAATTTTTGTAACGTTATAAAAGACAATATAATGTAAAAAAGAGCCATTTATTGGCATGGGTCAGAATGTCAAGTGAACATGGAACGACATGAGGAAGGTTCAGCAGACGATACAACGTTCTGGACAGGGGAGTGCTGACAACGCCCAGGCTTGCCTTGATCTCACCGATTCAGCCCACACGAGTGAAACGCCAACTTTGGCGAATATGCTCGTGACTTGAGGCCAAAGACCGACCAACGAGAAAAATACCTACAAAAATAACATATGCGATTGAGCCAATTCTTCACCTTACGTTAACTTTGTGTCTTCCTAAATTGCGCTCATCATTTCATTTCTTGCTCTCGGTTCTTCGTTCGTGCTAAATACCTTTTTTTTCATATCGCTTTGGATTCTTCGTTTCTTTTTATTTGATTTAAAAACCTCACAGAGGGTCCGTAAAAAAAAAAACAGAAATCATTGGAAGTGCGTCATGTCTTTGTAATGGTCATTTCAAAATCGCGTTTAAAAGAAGAAAAATCGTCGCGTGTATTACGCTAATAAACACTTAAAGAACTCCCAAATGAGGCCCACTTTATCACCCTCCTCCTCGTAAACCGCGTATAGTAAATGGGAGAGGTTCAGCAGCGCAATTACATCGCGAATTCTCATTACGAACCTCTTATAAAGTTGCAATAAGTAGGCCCTGAAATCAGCCCTTTCAACGATTCACAAAAATAAAGGTAATCAAAAAACTTTAGAGCGCGACGAGACTCCGACATAATGCCGAAAGAAAAAGTGCGTGTTCCAACCACAGTTATCCAATACCAAAAAGAAGAGACGCAATGCCCCCATCTAATAATCTTACTGCTGCCGTACTTCTCATGATGATTAAAATTCGTTATTTTCTCGTGGTTTCACTAAAACAATCTCGCTCGTTTGTTTGTGTTTTCCCCCAACTGCATCGCTCCAGCGCAGCTTTCAATTTAAAGCCCGTAGACATCGACTTCGGTTAAGCAAAAAGCAATAAAAGACTGGATCGAAAAAGTCGATATCGAATGGCGCGACCCGAACATAATGATTACATTCACGCTCATGTTAAAAAAAAAACGCACAATATCACTAACTAACTAAAAAAAACCAAAAAACATCGTAATCGAACGTGCTGCACAGAAAGGATCATAAACACGGCGTGTGGCAGATTAAATTCTGATTACATCAACCCTCCGCCCGATGAAGTTTAACGTTGCGTATTATAACTATTCTCATCAGAGATGAATAAATGCCGCAAAACGTTTAAAACAAGCTTTCCTTTATATTACACGACTCGATATGAATTTCTAATTGTGCTATTTCACTCGATATTTGAAATTCGGGCGCTCGAAGCGCGGAGTTTTCTTTGGGTCCGATGCGATGACTCCCTAGATTCAGGTCAGTCTCTCGACATTCTCACTGTTTTGTGCTCCGCGGACACCATCTTGTTCGAACGACGTTTTGTGGACGTTTTGCGGAATTGAAGCGTTGTTAACGGATTGAGCGTTTCCTCCGCTTCGCCAGTCGCAGAGCGGACTGTCGCTTGCGTCTTTAGCCTGATCGCGCAGCTGCTGAAGATGGCTGCTTTATTTCGACTTGTGTCGACGGTTCTACCTTCGTCAGCGCGGAGACCAAAACAGTCTACTCAAGAAACAAACATGTACGTATACCACGAGAAAAGGTTCTCGATAAGGCGTTTGTATGTATTCCATATAAAAGAGAACAGCATATGTAATCGACGAGAACGGGCGAGCATCACCCTGCGACGAGCAACTGCGTACGACATCGCCAGAACTACAGTCGGCTTGCACGAAAAACACATAACTCGGACACCGCAGTCAGCACCTCCTAGCTAACAAAGCCGTAGTGCTCAATGAGATGGCGTCATTAGAGAAGGCCAACGCTGGCCACAGATTGGACACGACGATTGCGTCAATCTTTGACTCAAACTTGACGCGAAGCCCAGCGCTAACGCAGTACTCTTTTCCCATCTGTGTTCAGCGTTGGCCTTCACAGGTGACGTTAAAAATATATCAGCGCTACGACCTTGTCTTCTAGGCGGTATAGCTACAGTAGTCTTCAAAACAACGACGAAGGGTTGGAAAACAATCTGATCCCCAAAATTAGGTCAGCTATTCATGCAGGAAGGGTTCACTTGGAAAAGAATAGTAGGACCTTCTGAGTAGGATCATTGAGGGTAAAGTCGCTTTTAGCTCTGTTTTTCAGGAGGAAAGCTCGACGAAGTCTTCAGTTTTCTGCTTTAAGGCGCGCAAACAAATGATAAAAAAAAACTTAGCTGGTCTGCTTAATTTTACTGAAATGTGGAACTAATATTTGGACGATCAATCTTGTTCTGCTAGTATACCGTTTTGGGTTGCCTCAACCTATCGAGGACGGCACCTACTAAAACTCCTTAATGCTAGAATCATGTAACCACACACGTATACACATTAACATATTTAGCGTTTCGTGCATTTTAAAAATAGCTTAAAGTATAGTGCAACAACAGAACGCTCGAAGTTGGTAATAGGGAGTCTTCGCAAGCCATTTTCCTCTATCCGCTAAGCTTTTCGCAACGAAGAGACCGCTACTGCGCCTGCGCGCCGTTAGCCTTGACTGAAAAAACTCGGATCTCGTAGAGGAATTCCGGAAAGCGTTGCGAGACGGCGGAAACGACCTACGAAAACTCCCCAATAAAAACGTCCTCTCGCAAGCATACACCCGCAGCGCTGCCGTTCCAAGATATTTCGTAGACTCATGATCACTGATCTCTATTGTAGCAGGCTGGATGGCGGATCGGAAGCCCGTCGGTGTCGCCACCGG